ACAAACAAACAAAAACAAACAAACAAACAAACAAACAAACAAACAAACAAACAAACAAACAAACAAACAAACAAACAAACAAACAAACAAACAAACTCACACGAGATTGAGCTCAGGCATGCTGAAGTCCTTCCGCGACTGCAACTGAGAGGCTTTCTCCCACAAGCTTCCAAAGCACATCCTCCTTAGCATGAGCCGAGGTTCGAGCCTCCCAGACACCAAGCGGACTGAGATCCCTGGTGTTGATTTTTCATTTGGCTAGAAGCTTTGAAGCTGATTTGGTTGGTTTATAGTGTCTATGATGAACACATCATCATGTCATAGTTGGGTGATCCTAAAAATAGAAGGAGTTCTACCAAATAGGTTCTAGGAAGCTACACATGTGCATCCTTTGCTGCAAGCTCGAACCTCCTCCTGCTTGTAGGTAGGACCTGTTCAGGGTCCCCCTGGGCACAGGGACTCTCCAGGATGACTCACACCTCCCCCCCCCCCCCGCCCCAAGAAATCCGCCGACTGTTTGGGGCACGTACCTAGGGCCTGGGGGCACGCACTTGTTTCTCTTCCTTGACGGTCACGCAACACGGGACTATATCATGTTAAATCCATTTTTCATGGCGTGCTTGCACAACCAACACCCAACCTAACAAGCCAAGGCCTAAACAAGAGGAGTCAGCAAAGCACCTACCAGACATGCCACGGCTTGGATTTTCCTCGGCGCTCGCTGGCTTCTCATGTTCCTGCCAGGCCTCTGCCTCCGGCGGCGGGCGAGCTTCTTTGAAGGCCTTCTGCAGCCAGTTCTCCGCCGTGGACAAATCTCCGCGCTTGATGGCGTCACAGGCCATCAGGGCGCAGAGGTTGGGGTCCGGCTCCTCCAGCAAGCCTCAGGAATCTGGAAGCCTCCAATCTCCTGAGCCCTTAGCAAGGCCTCTAGGGGAAGCTTGTCCATGTTCTTTAAGGGATTCTGCTTTTCAGGAAACCATCAAACATCCAGAAGAAACAGCTGGTTCTTGACAAGAAGGATGGTTGAAAGGAATGGGGAATCAAACCCTAGGTCCCTTCAGTGGATGTTCATATCTTTGGGCCTTCACCATGAAGAAAGTTGATTGCCCAAAGGTGCTCCACTGAGACGGCTTTCTGCTTATCTGCCCGCCCTCATTCCAACCCTTGCCAAAGTCCACTTGCGAGGTCTCAAGGCAGAAACTGCACACCTGCAGGAACTCACCAAAACCCATCCATGTGCAGAGACAGGAATTTCTTCCGCGATGACATGACCATTTTATACCATTTTGATGTGCTTCCAATTTGCAGGGAAGTATTTGAAGTACTCCACTGCTAGGTCCTCCAGTAGAGAGGTGAGAATAAGGGTACCAACTATTTGTTTTGTCTATTTTAGTGGGGGAACCCTCCCCCAAAAAAAGGGTAAAAGGGCACTACTGGGGGACCTAGATTTTGTGGTGGAACAGTGGATGCTCTAAACTTAAAGGATGCAAGCAGGGGAAGAAGGGGAGACCCTGTGATTCATCTAAGATGTTCGTGGTCGCATGTGATTCACTTGCTTCGCATTTTTGTTGCAATCCACCCTGCGATCCAGCAAGCAAAAATACATCCATTTAGATGAACTGGGTCATCCCGGTCAATACTTCATTCCTTGAAGGGGGATCTGTTTGTATCGCAGAAGCCGGCCCCAAACCCTACCTTCGACACACCTGATGACCAGCAACTTGCAAAACAATTTGCAATTTCGTGCGCCCAGAGGACCAAATCACTGCCATTCCGGCAGGGATTCGGGACGGCCCCAGTCATCACGACCGAACAAAGCGCACTGCCGCATTTGCAAAAAAAGAAAGAAAGAAGGTTGCGAAGCCCGGGACGTCTCCGAAACAGTGCCGCAACCCCCCAGAACCTGCGTGGACTCCCAAAGCCGCTGAACCATTCTGCGGATTCCCTAAATTCCAAAACTTGATGGTGAGGGATGCCCAAGTCTTCCGGAGTTTTGCTAAAAAATATACTCGTTCTACCGGATCGGACTAGATAAAAATTGCCCAGATTGCATCGGTTGACTTCGGGTTGGCCCACCGATGCGCTGAAGGAAGCTCAAAGGTCGATCCGCTGACAGAGCGGAGCGGAGGAACACTTGGGTAGTCCAAAAAAAGGGGACCCTTTAAAAATCTTCAAAATGTCGTAGTTGGTAGGAGTCCAAAAAATGGGGCCCTTCATGTCTTTGCGGGTTTTCCTCTTGGCCTCCCCTTGGGTGAACACCTATAGAGCCTCTAGAAACCGGACAGTTGGGTGAGTGGCCCTCGTCCTGCAGCTCGGACAGCCACCTGGGGGCTCTGGGCGTCTCCGCGCTTCGCCGCACGTTTCGCGGCACGTTTCGCAGCGGCGCGTTGCGCGGTCCGAGGAAGGTCCATCCCAGGCCGAGGCTGAAGAGGCGCAAGAGCCATGGCATTCGGCCGAGTGGCAAGGAAGCGGAAGCGCCCAAAGCCCACCTAAAGACGGGGTTCAACCACTTGGCCAAACGAGAGGCCCCCCAACAATGTTTGTTTATCCTTTGCTTGTTGAAAGGAAAATTGAAAAACCAAAAGGGGCAACAGGACCAAATGGCCAATGAAGTCTGGCATTGGCATGACTAGCTGCTCAGCAAGATGCCAAGGTGCCAAGCGGAAAGGGGCTCAAGGCTTCTGTCGAGTGCTGCCATGGGTCATACTATTGTTCTCAACTCAGGCCAGGCTGGCCTCGCTGCGGGGTTGGCTTCCTTGGTTGCTTGATTGCTCGATTGCTTGATTGTGTCCTTGATTGCTGTCTTTAGTTGTGTTGCCTTGTGTTAGGCTTGCAGCTTGCATGATAACTAGCGTAGACCAGCATGCCAACTAGTTTTTCTGCATTCTTGATGTTCTTGCGGGCCTGTGATTGCCACAGTGCAATTGCGCGCGCAGCCAGTGACTCAGTGGGCATTAGCTCCAATCGATTGCATGGCTATGGGCTCCAAGGAGGAAATGACCGAGGGTCTAAGTGTTTCAATGCTGGCTATACCTTTCTGCACCTAGAGTTCACGATGTTGCATTTTGCCAGCATGGGAAAAACAGATGCAAAGAAGTTCAAGGTTCAAAGTCCAAGCAAGCAGTCAACCAAGAGCCAAAGTGTTGCAAAATGCTTGAGTCTTTACTTTATGAGCTGTTCATTTTTCAACCACTCATTGTCAATAGACAACTAAGGGAACCTTCATCATGGTTGAGGTCGCAAACCACGTTTGAGCGATCGTTACAACATCTGCAAATGACATCCAACAGCTGAAGCTAATCCGAGGGGACCTGGGCAAAAATCGCTTGCTTATTATCCCCAATTCTGGGAAACAAACACATGTCATCCCTGTTTCTGAGCCCTCGTTCCTGAGTGTTTTGAGGGGGTCCTTTTCACACCTTGGATGTCTTTGGAGGGCCTCAGGGGCCCTCCAAAGACTCGCTTGTGTGGTGTCCCTCTGGTGGCCTTCCCTTGTCATTAACCCAAAGGGCCCTCTCAAAAGCGACAGGCCCGTTCTGCAACTGGTTCCCGCCGCAGCCCGAATCCGCTTGACGCGCCTAACGCCACACCCACAGACGGCCCGGCAGACCTTGCCGAAACAACTGGAAACTCATCTTTACCCTCCTGTTAACCAACAGGGGAAATCAAACATGTTCTTGAGCAAATGGACGGGATCCTGCTTTTCTAGCAGGGGAGGGGAAAGGTGAGTAAATGGGGCAAGTGGGGGTGCGGAAAAAGATTCTTTGTGGGGAGCTCTCAGACTTGCACACTCATAGAGAACACTCCTCAAGGTAAGCCTGGGGCTTCTGCGAATCACGCCAAAGAAGTGTTGCGAGCCGTTGTTTGAATTGACGAGGATTCCAATTCCCTTAAACGACAAGCCATGTTCGTCTATCGAAATCTGCACAAAGATTTGTCGGGTGTGGCTGTGCCAATTCACTCGCGATTTGGTAAGCGTCTTTGGGCTTATCCGCTTATCCCTTGCGAAACTCGAAGGGTGCATCTCCAAATTGTCAGCACTTTTTAGGGAGAAACTGGCAGAAAGCCCACCAAACGCATAGAAAGCGGCCTACGGTTCCGTGGCGGCATGGACCACCCTTGAAGAGACACCACGGCTGCAAATGGGCGGGGGGGTCAAAAACAGAAGGCCCCATGCGATCCCGATTTTTAAGGCCTTGGCCTTAGCCAGTCCTGACACCGTCACTTCTTTTCAAGACTTAGAAAAAAAGTAGATGGCACCATTCCCCTGCTGGAAATCGCGGCTGGTGCTAGATCACCCCCCCGTTTAGGGGGGTCGAAAGAAGAACACACCGATTTCTCCCATGCCCACGGCGCCATCGGCCACCAGATGCCACCGGGGCCACCGGCACTCCGGCGCGGAGGGTTCCAGATGTGGTACTGGCCGGGCAAGCCGCGCTCGAGACGGGGTCCTATGGTTACCTCAACACCTGACGAAAAACGTCACGCATGGGTGCAGGGCTTCCATTTGGCCAAGGCCCCAGGAAAAAAATAATATATCCAGTAGTGATGAATTCCTTTTAATACCAACAAGGGAACATAATAGTAATAATAATAATAATGATAATAATTTTAAAAAACTATTAAGCAAATGGAGGTGGGCGCACATAAGGAACTTGTTCCATCCAACTTGCTTGAATTGTGGCAAACCGACTTAGCCGTTAGACGTTGGCGAAACAGGGGATTGCACAGGGACTCCGGCGCATCCCAACCAAACCTCGTCTTTGTGCGGTAAATCCCCCGAAAGAAACGCCTAAAAAGTGTTTCCTATCGAATGGTTCTGTTTGTTGAGGGGATTGGCATGTCAGTTTGGAGGTCGCCTGCCCCTTTTGAGCTGACCAGGTTTCCAAACGGCCGAATATTCAAAAGGTCTTGGACTGCTGCTTAAAAAACAAGGCGGCCCCCAGGTCTCTTTCCATTTACCACTTGACTATACATTAATTTGGATATGGGGATCGATCATGCTCCGCCACCGGGCCATACGTAAATTTGGGCATGGGGATCAGCAACCTCGCGCCTGCGGTTGTTCCGCGATCCATCCTGCCGGCCGGCTTTGGGCTTGACCTGGCAAAAAAAAGGCAAGCTTTCGACGTGACTCGCCGCCTCGCTTCCGGGGGCTTTAACACAAAACCCGAGGCAAATGATGGGGATGTGGGGCTTTCGCGGATCCACACACACAACACACACACGCACACGCGCACAAAAAAACACACACAACACGAAGGCTTGTTACTTCTGGTACGCCAATGTGGGCGATGCAATGCCCCTCCTACTACCCCGGGGCACGGCCACCAGGCGTTGAAAGGTTGCCTCGCAAAAATCGCGGGATCTTCAAATCAGCGACACTCACAGGCAGCTATCCGAAAAACCTTCTCTGCGTGGCCAAGCGCTGCATGAAGGTTTGGACTCCAAGAGTCGAGCCTATCTGGGTACCACTGGCATCCCTGGCAAATATGGTCACTTGGCGTATACCCATGGCACATCCCAAAACATCCAACCCCGTTTCTGATAGGAGGATCCCCTCCTAGCCACTGGATACGACATTTGGATGTAACTTCTGTGGAATCCGCCTGGTCTTCCTGTTGGTCCGTTTTCCGTATTCCTGCATTTGTCTTTCGTTCTCATGTTTAAATATCCTACAAGGGTGTGTGGGTGTGTGCGTGTGTGATCTCTCTCTGTGTGTGTGTTGTCTCTGTGTGTGTGTGTGTTGTCTCTCTCTGTGTGTGTGTGTGTGTCTGTCTGTGTGTGTGTGTCTCTGTGTGACTGGGTGTCTGTGTGTCTGCGTGTCTGTGTCTCTGGGTTGTGTATGTACCTCTCGTGTGTTTATGTTTGAGTTTGCGCTTGCATTTGCGTTTGTGTGTGTGTGTGTTGTAGGTGAGCGAACGGGGGGGCGGGCGGGTGGGCGCAGGTGCGCGGGTAAAAAGAGACCAACAATCCACCGCCCATGGCAGTCCTTAGGGGTGCCCTGTGCAGGAGACCGTGCCCAAGACTGACCCTGAACATCACATGTCCACCAAGTCCTGCGGGCTTGTGGTCTAGTCATCCATTGGCTTGCGCACCTTGAAAACCATACTTCAAGTAGGGACAGATTCCCTGTAAAATCAAAGGGAACAAGAACACATATGGGCGTTGGTCGAAATTCTTGTGTTTTTTTTTCGCCTTCCGGCGCCCTTTCGCGAAACTTACGCTTTCTTTCGCGCCCACAGTGGGGCGCACATGGTCGACAACCCTCGGTCGACAACACCACTAAAGCGTCAAAAGCCTGCTTTGGGAACCAACAACCCAACCCGAATGCTATTTTCCAATGCCTAAAACAGGTTTTGGGGTGCTAGTCTGTGTATTCTCAAGGAAAGACTCATTTGAACACGTTTGGACACTTTTGGCTCCTGCAAACCAACCCAACACCTGCGCAAATGTTATTTTCCAGTGCCCAAAACAGGTTTTGGAGGTGCCTGGTCTGTATTCTCAAGGAAAAGACTCGTTTGGACACTTTCCGCCCCTTGGCCTGCAAACCAACCCGGAACCTGCCCAAATGTTATTTTCCAGTGCCCAAAACAAGTTTTGGGCGCTTTCTAGTCTGTACCCTCAAGGAAAAGCTCATTTGAACAATTTCGGCCCCTTGACCTGCAAACCAACCCAACACCTGCCCAAATATTATTTTTCAAAACAGGTTTTGGGGGGGGCCCTGGTCTGTATTCTCAAGGAAAAGACTCGTTTGGACACTTGGCCTGCAAACCAACCCGGAACCTGCCCAAATGATATTTTCCAGTGCCCAAAACAAGTTTTGGTGGCTTCCTAGTCTGTACCCTCAAGGAAAAGACTCATTTGAACAATTTTGGCCCCTTGACCTGCAAACCAACCCAACACCTGCCCAAATATTATTTTCCAGATTCTCAAGGAAAAGATTCGTTTGGACACTTTCCGCCCCAAACCAACCCGAACCTGCCCAAATGTTATTTTCCAGTGCCCAAAACAAGTTTTGTGAGCTTCTTAAGGAAAAGACTCATTTGGACACTTTTGGCTGGTCACTGCCCAAATATTTTGCAGCGCCCCAAAACAAGTTTCGGGGGCTCTCTAGTGTGTACCCTGAAGGAAAAGACTCATTTGGACACTTTCGGCCCCTTGGCCTGCAAACCAACCCAGAACCTGCCCAAATGTTATTTTCCAGTCTTGAAAACAGGTTTTGGGGGTGCCCTGGTCTGCATTCTCAAGGAAAGACTAACCTGGCCAAATCTTATTTTCCAATGCCAAGAAACAGGTTTTGAGGGTGCCCTGGTTTGCATCTTGTGGACCAACCCCGAAACAGGCCCAAATGTTATTTGGCCTTGGCCGAAATAGCTTTTGGGCAACCCCCAACAACGGCATACCAACATGCAGGGGCGAGGGGCACATATGGCATAAACAACAGTCCAAAAGCTATTTCTACAGCATTGAAAAATGTTCACACCATTCAGAGTGCGA